ACCCGCAACCAAGGTACATGCCCTTGACCGGAATTGAACCAGGGACCCTTCAGTCCACAGGCCTACGCTCTATCCACTGAGCCAAACCCGTTTCAGCATTTGCTTCTTTTTTCTATGTTCTGTTTCCCAGGAGACATGCCACCAGGGGACCAGCGGGCAGCGGCACCTCGTCCCAGGCTAAAAAACCCCACCCCCCCAACCTGTCTCCAACCTGTAACTGCTTCCTGAGTCCGCGCAGCCCAGTGGCTCCCGTCTGCCTGTGACTTCCTCTCTAAGAGGCCGAGGCAGCGCTCCGAGCAGCCGCTCAGACCCCGATCGGATCCTCTCGTCCAGGGTCCTTTCACTTTGCACGTTCAATTCACTGCCTCTGTGCCAGCGTTCTTGGCTCTGAATTCTTTCTTTGCTGAAGTCAAGAGCCAAAGCCGGCCTTGCCAGTAACACGGGTGGGTTGCCGAGAACCAATCGCCGCAGGTCATCGTTGCAGGAGTTTTACCGAATGGTAGTGAAGCTCGGGGAGTCAACAGGGTGGAGTCACATGTAGTTCACCTGATGGAACGGCTCACGGGCACTTCCCCAAACCTGAATAGGACTGTTAGCTGCCAGGCAGCTCAGGGCACTTTACTGCCTCCTGTTGGCCCAACACCCGAACAGCTGTAGGCTCTTCCCCAAACTGACAATCTCTGTAAGCCCTTTGGAGTGTACGTCTCCACCTTGCCCTGGGACAAATTGTGTTTAATAAAAGCAGGGTCCTTGGTCCAGGAGGAGAGCCTTCTAGCTCCCTCAGCTGAAGCTCCTCTGACCCCCAATGCCTCTCAAAACTATCTTTCGTCCACAGACTCCTTCTTAATCATCTACACGCAGCCCTTTCTCCCGGACGCTGAGCCCTTTGTGAGGCTGGGACAAGAACCCCAGCAGGAGGTGATTCAGCATACCGCCTAACGTTCCGTGGTGTCATTAACCACTCACTGAATAGGAAGACTGTATGGTCTGCAATCAAATGCTCATCGATACACTCTCCTTGACAGAGATCTTTCTGGCCCCTCATCCTTCCAGAACATTCCGTTGTCTCCTAGGACCCTTTCCGGGTGGCTCATCAAGGACCCGTTTTGAAATTACCTTAGCGATGGGGCTCTCCAGCTCGCACATCTGTGACCAAGGAAGAGAGGTGTGCCCGGCCGGCATAGCTCAGCGGATGAACGCCAATCTATGAGCCCGGAGGTCACGGTTCAGTTCCGGGTCAGGGCACATTTCACAAAAAGAGGAGTGGCATTGACCCTGACCTTCCCAGAGGCCGTGCTGAGAGCGGGCGGCCTGCTCTCGAGGCCGCTCAGGTTTTACAAGACGAGGCCGCCGGCTCTCGGAGCAGCCAACGGCGAGCAAGACACTCCTCACGGGGCACTGGCTGCCTCTGCCAATTAGGGGCGTTTTATTTTATTTATTATTTTTTAAAATATATTTTTTCATTGATTTCAGAGAGGAAGGGAGAGAGAAACATCAGTGATGAAAGGGAATCATTGATCGGCTGCCTCCTACACACCCCCAACTGGGGAAGGAGCCTGCAACCTGGGCCTGTGCCCTTAGTTAGAATCGAACCTGCGCTGACACTCTCCCTACGGAGCCAAACCAGCCAGGGCAATTAGGTGTATTTTGTTTTCTAAAATATACTTTATTTACTTATTTATTTATTTACTTACTTACTTATTTACTTATTTATTACAGAGAGGAAGGGAGAGGGATAGAGTCAGAAACATTTACGAGAGAGAGACATCGATCAGCTGCCTCCTGCACACCCCCTACTGGGGATGTGCCTGCAACCAAAGTACATGCCCTTGACCGGAATCGAACTTGGGACCCCTCAGTCCGCAGGTCAACGCTCTGTACACTGAGCCCAACCAGCGAATTAGGTGCATTTTAAATCCGTGTCAGGAATGGCATTTCAAGGTCACTGCCACCCTTGGCAAAAGCCTGGCCGAGAGAACCAGTCTTGATGAGAAGGACCCGCAGGGGCGCAGTCATGTCCCTCATTGGTGAGCGTGCAATGCGCTTGGGAGTTTTGTTAAAAAAAAAAAGGTTCTGGGTCAGTGTGTGTGTGTTATACACTGTATACATGAGGTGTGTGAATATATACAGAAAATGCATATATATATTGTGTGTGTGTATATATATATATATATATATATATATATATATGGCTGAATTCTGTTCCATATTATTACCATAATATTATTACCATAATTGACTTCAAAAATGTTCACCTCACACTAATCTTATTTCACCTACATCTCCACCCTCTCACACCCAAACCCTCAGCTTTTTAAGGGAAATTCCAGACATCGTACTTAACCTGTAAACATTTCAGGATGGATGCCTAAAAGATAAGGACTGAACACATACCACAAGCATAAGCTTTGTTTTCCTCTTAAAGTTTCCTTCTACACATCCTGTTTTCCTTCAGCTGTGGAGGGAGGACTTGAAACCAGCTGTTTTTTTGCCAGGTGAGGACAGGTGAGGCCAGGTGAGGCCAGGTGAGGCCAGGGGAGGCCAGGTGGAGGAGGAAGGAGGGAGGATGGGGCACAGACAGGCTGAGGTTCAGAGCACAAAGCCAGCAGTCCTGGATGCTGGCACTGCATGTGTTTTTCTGCTCCATAACCTGGACTCCATACCCATGCCATTTGGAGAGTTTGAACAATGCACCCCATCCCTCTTTTTGTGGCATCTAAGCTGCCTTCTTTTATCAGCAGAAGTCTCCTTTAGAAAATGTCCTTAAAAAGATGTCCGCTGTGAGTGCGCCGAGCGAGGCCTGGGTGGGGGCGGGTTCCCGCCAAGGCCCCAGCCCCCAGGGGGGAGGGGGAGGGGGAGGGGACAGGGGCGCTCCCATTCTCAGCTGGGGGGGGGTGTCCCTGTTCCCCCCAGGACTGTGGCGGCCTGTCTCCCGTCTCTAACGGGAGGAGGATGCATTTACTACAAAGGTGGGCAGTAAAGGTGGTGGCAAGAGTTAGTCTCTGCAGTATGCAGCAGGAAACCAAAGCAAAACCCTGTGAGGAGTGAAAAATCCCAGCAGCACGGGCAGTGAGACAGGTGAGCAGAGCAAGGACAGGGGCCTGGCAGGGAAGGTCGCCAGGGCGAAGGCCCAGGTCCCAGCCTGGGACAATCAGTTGTGGGGGCCCTCGCCCCCCAGGGTGGCCTTTCCCTCCCTCACTGTGGCTGGTCACCCGGTTTAGACCCCTGACCTTTGCTCTCTGGAGGTAACAGCCAGGCCTCAGTGGCATTGCAGCTCTGGGCCCAGAGAAGCAGCCAAACCGGCCCCGGCTGGCCTCAGGCACCGCTGCATTGAATGGTGCCCCCCGCCCCTGCCCTGGTGCCGGCCTAGCCATCAGTGGACACTGCCCCCCGACAACGACACACCCAGAAAACAGAAGAACATTCCACTGAGATCTCCCCTGGAGCCGCCCTGCAATCTCTGCCCTTGACACCAGCAGGAGGACCCAGTGTGCTCTCCGCCCCCTAGGAGCGGTGCAAACCTCCCCTCTCCCTTCCCCCCAGACACCTTACCATCATTTTCCTCACTCCCCGGTTCCCAGGGCCCTTCCTTTACCCCCATAACGCGTCCCCCGAGCCCATTTCTTCTAGCGATTACTTCTGTCGTATCGCAAACCTGGAGCTGGACAGTGGCTGAATGAGTCCTTCGTTGGAGCCATCTTTATTGCGGGAAGAAGGTGAAGAGCAGGTGACCTTTGTTACATTCTGAACACACACAGGAGTATTTCCCTTTTATGTCCTTCTAGTTCTTTGTGTAAGACGGCTTGTAACCTTAAATACATATTATACCTAATCAAACACCTGTCATATCTACACAGCTTGTACCTTGGAGTACATATCTGATCAAACACCTGTAACCTTGGATGAACAAACACTTGGCAGAATGTGAGAATTAGCACCGGTATCAGCCCCTTCAGATGGCTAGCCTGCAGGCCGGACAGTTAGGTTTATCTTTTCTATTAAAAACCCCCACAAAGTTCTTTTACAGTCTAAAAATAACGGAGTTGACCCACGGAATGAGAGACTAAGAATAACAGCAGTTGAAACAGCGGTTTTTCCAGCGGAGGGACCCTCCGCTTCCCTTCTCCCTGTGATTTACCGGATGGCTGTTCTCCGGGGGTTCGGGTCTTGGCTCTGACTTCCTTCCTGACCTGAACCCACGCGGGGAGGTTGCCAAACCCAGGTTTGGCCTGACCCCACCGGCCAGACACCGGTGCCGTTCAGCCGCCTACAATAAAAATACATGCCCCTGCGAGGGGGGCCCGTGGGCCGGGCCGGGGTCTGCCCACCCACCCGACCGGCGAGAAGGCGGGGCCGGGGGGAGGGGCTCCGGGGCCCGGAGTGACTTCCCGCGGGAAAGTGAGTCAGCAGCGGCCGGCCGCCCGGGGCGGGGCTGACTCATTGCGGCCTGGGCGGGGCCTGGGCGGGGCGACCGGAGCGGGTGGAAGCGGATTGGACCATTCGGACGTGGGCGGGGCGCCCCTGTCCAATTGGTGTCTTGGTGGGCGTGGCCAGGCAGGAAGGGGCGGGGCCGGTGGGAGGTGTAGACTCTAGCTGGGCGGGGTGATCCGGCGGGAGCGCTGACCCGGCAGACGGGGCGGACCCGGCGGGGCGGGCCCGGGCGGGGCGGACCCGGGCGGGGCGGACCCCGGCGGGGCGGACACGGGGGGGGGGGGGGCGGACCCGGGCGGGGCGGACCCGGCGGGCGGACACGGGGGGGGGGGGGGCGGACCCGGGCGGGGCGGACCCCGGCGGGGCGGACCCCGGCGGGGCGGGCCCGGGCTGGGCGGGCCCGGGCTGGGCGGGCCCGGGCGGGGCGGGCTCGGGCGGGGCGGGCTCGGGGTCGGGCGGGGCGGGCTCGGGGTCGGGCGGGGCGGACCCGGGCGGGGCGGGCTCGGGCTGGAAGGGATCGGGCTCGGGCCGGGCGGGGCGGGGCGGGGCGGGGCGGGGCCGGGGCAGGGAAGGCGGAAGGACCCGCCAGCCCAGCATCCGAGCGCCGAGCGGCCCCTCGCACCGCAGCGCCGGGCCGGAGCCCCCGGACGGAGGCCGGCGCCATGCGCGCGGCGCTGCTGGGGCTATGCAACTGGAGCACGCTGGCCGTGTGCGCGGCGCTCAAGCTGCCGCAGGTCTCCGCGCTGCTGGCGGCGCGCAGCGCGCGGGGCCTCAGCCTGCCGAGCCTGCTGCTGGAGCTGGCGGGGTGAGGCCTCCCTCCGCCGCCTTCCTCCGCCTCCCTCCCTCCGCCGCCGCCTCCCTCCGCCGCCCTGCCTGGGGCCCGGGCGCGGGGAGGGGGCCCGGGAGCCGGGGGGGGGGGCCCGGAGCCGGGGAGGGGGGCCCGGGAGCCGGGGAGGGGGGCCCGGGAGCCGGGGAGGGGCGCCCGGGAGCCGGGGAGGGGGGCCCGGGGGCCGGGGAGGGGGGCCCGGGAGCCGGGGGGGGGGCCCGGGAGCCGGGGAGGGGGGCCCGGGAGCCGGGGAGGGGGGCCCGGAGCCGGGGAGGGGGGCCCGGGAGCCGGGGAGGGGCCCGGGAGCCTCCTGCGGGGCGGGCACCACGCACCCTCCGCAGAGAGGACACCGGCCCGGCCACCACGTCACTCCCTTCCGCGGGGACCAGCGGCCGCCGGGCCCTCGGACGCCGTCCGGGCCACAGGGCGGCGTGCGGGTCCGCGGGCGCCCGCAGCCCCGCGGCTCGGGTTCGAATGGGTTCCGTCGAATGGGCCGAGAGGGGTCCATCGCCCAGCGAGCGGCCCCTCCGCCGGGACGGGGCCCAGGACCCCGCGGGCCGGGGCGGTGCGGGGGGAGGGTGCCCGCAGGGGCCGCCCCCGCACAGGCGGCCCCGCCCTGCTCAGTCTGCAGACCAGCCGCCCGGCCCGGGGCGGACCGCCGCGGGGTGCACCTCCCAGCGCCCCAAAGGGCCAGGTGACGTCACCTTGACCGCGCCCCAGCCGCGCCCCCGCCCAGACCCGGGGTCCTCACCTGCCAGACGGGGGTCGGGCTGTGACTTTAAACCCCACGTTTTGGGGGGCGGGCGTGGGGGGTGGAGGGGGAGGGTGGAGGGCTCTGGGGCCACGGAGGGGGGCCTGGGCTGAAGGGCGGGCGGAGGGCTCACCCTGCAGGGCCGGAGCGGGTGCCCTGGCCCCGGGGGAAAGGCCGAGAGGAGCTCGCAGACTGGGAAGACTGGGTGGGAAGACTGGAGTGAGGGGACCCTCTGACCCCGCAAACCTGGGGGTCCGGCCCCTTCCCCCCGCTGGGCCCTCCCTCCCCGCTTCTGTCCTGCCAGCCCGCCCCTCCCTCCCCCGTTCTCCCGAGGCTCGGAGGGGCCGCCCGGCTCCAGCACCCGGAGGGGCAGCCCTGGGCCGATGGGGGCCAGTCTGGGAGGAGGCAGGCAGAGGCCGGGGTGGAGGGGGAGGCCGGCCAGGGAGAGGCTGTCCGGAAGGCCTGGCAGAGGGGGGACAGGAGTGAGCCCGCACCGGGAGGCAGACGGGCAGGTGCCCGGGGGCCAGGAGCCTGTCCCCTCCCCGCCCGCCGCCACCTCCCGGGACACAGGAGGTCAGGGCGTGGCCTTCACCGCCCTCCCGGTCACCCTCTCACAGCACCTGGGCCACCACCAGCGCCGGGGACCAGCGATGCCAATGCGAGGACTGGCACAGAGGACCGGAGCTGGCAGGGGCGGGGAGGGGGCTGGGGATGGGAGGGTGGGCCCGGACAGGCCTCTGCTGCCACTTTCGCTGATCCTGGAACAGCCGCAGACAGATGGCCGGCTTTGGGGACAGGCAGACTGGCCATCGCTAACCTGCCCACCTGCTGTCCTCCATGAAAGTCGCTCTAGGCGGCCATCCTGATGCCCGGGCAGTCCCCCCAGAGCCTTCAGGAGGGAGGCACCAACAACCTCAGACCCTGACGTGAACCTTCCACCCCTGCCCTCCTCCTCCACCTCCTCCTCCACCTCCATCTCCTCCTCCTCCACCTCCTTCTCCTCCTCCACCTCCTCCTTCTCCTCTTCTTCTTCCACCACCACCTCCTCCTCCTCCTCCTCCACCTCCACCTCCTCCTTCTCCTCCTCCTCCTCCACCTCCTCCTCCTCCACCTCCTCCTCCTCCTCCTCCTCCACCTCCTCCTCCACCACCTCCTCCTCCACCTCCTCCTCCTCCTCCTCCTCTTCCTCCTCCTCCTCCTCCTCTTCCTCCTCCTCCTCCTCCTCTTCCTCCTCCTCCTCCTCCTCCTCCTCATCCTCCTCCTCCACCTCCTCCTCCTCCTCCACCACCTCCTCCTCCTCCTCTACCACCTTCTCCACCTCCTCCTCCTCTTCCTCCTCCTCCTCCTCCTCCTCCTCATCCTCCTTCTCCTCCTCCTCCTCCTCCTCCTCACCCCGCCGGCAGCCATGGTCTCAGGCCTGTGCTCCGGGTGTGGCCGCCTCCGCATCAGGGCGGCCAGTTCAGGGTGCCTCCCGCTCCCCAGGTTCCTGGTGTTCCTCCGGTACCAGGTGTACTACGAGTACCCGCTGCTCACCTACCTGGAGTACCCCATCCTCATCGCACAAGGTAAGGAGCCACCTCTCTCTTCCTCCCCCCCACCCGCCCGCCCCCGCCCTGGGCCCCCTCCTCTCACAGCCTCTCCCTCCCCACAGATGTCATCCTGCTGCTCTGCGTGTTCCGCTTCAGCGGGAACGTGTACCGGGCGGCGCCCTACCTCGCCCTGTATCCTTCTGCAGGGGAGTGTGGGGGTGTGTGGGGGAGTGGGGGGGATGAGTCTTATCCGCAGGCCGTCACCCCTCTCCCCTTTCCAGTTGCACCAACAAGAATGCCCCCGGCAGACCCCGTGGAGCCCGTGTCTCCGCAGCCGGGGGTGGGGCCCGCTGGCCGCCGGCCCTGTGGGCGGTTGGGGGCTCCCCGCGGGGCCGCTGAGCAGAAGCACCCCCCTCCGAGGCCTGCCTTTCCTGTTGGGGCGATGGCTTTCTCCCCCACAGACGTCCCCTGGGATCTAGGTCAGGGGGATGCGAACGTCTGGCATTAACAGCGCTGACGCCCCCGGTCACCTGTCCGCGGCCGGTGGGCTCCCGCAGCGGGTTCACGGCCAAGGTCAGGCCCCTCGTGCAGACGTGGCGAGGGGGGGGGGGCTCCTGAGACACACAGACCCGTCCGTCTGCCGGCAGCCGGGCCTGGCGCTCAGCTCAGGGGAAACCCGCGCTCCCGGTGACGCCCCGCCTCAAAGCGCCAGGCCAGCCTCCGATTGGCAGTGGTTAAACCGGCCTCACCTGGCACTTGTGGCCGGTCTTCCCCAGAGAAGAAGGGGAGGTCTGCCGGCCTGTCTGCCCAGTGCCCAGTGCCCTGTGCCCGCCCCCCGCCCCCAGGGCCCGGCCCCCTCTGAGCTGCCGCGGCCCCGGAGGCGGCTCCCGGTGCCCCTCCAGGGTCTGAGGGCCCGGCCAGGCCCCAGGCTGTTCCCAGAAGCCCCTCTGCGGAGTGGAGCGGGGTGCACAGTGGTCTCAGGGCCTGGCCACTTGTCCACGTCCCCAGCTGTGCTGTCTGAGCCCAGCATCCTCGCTCCTCCTGCCGCCAGCTCTGCTGCCCGCTGCCGGCACCGCCTTTCACACGGGTCCGTGAAGAGGGGGCAGCGGAGAGTTTCAGTGACGGGTTTTGCAGGACGCGCCTGCTCTATAACCTTAGCCCCTGGTAGGAGCTGAGCTCGGCCTCCTGCGGGGTCGGCGTCGGGAGGAAGCCGGGAGCTAAGATCCATCCCCTGGGGCCTCCGCCTGCAGCAGGGAGCGAACGGGGCGGGCGCTGTGCCTTTGCCATCGGCTGCCCCTGTGCTCGGCTCCCGGTCCCGGCACAGCACGGGGCTGCCTGGTCTTCCCAAGCCTGCCGGTCCTCCCTGGGGTCGGGTGGGTTTCCACGGCACCGGCGCCGGCGAGGCTGCGGGAGCCGCCAGCACGGCCACTTCCTTGACTCGGCGAGGTTCGTGGCATCCTGGTTCCTCCTCTCCCTGCGGAAGTGGGTCATGGACCTGGCCATGGTGAGTGCGCCCCGGCAGCCGCCCGAGGGTCCTGACGACCAAAGGTCCCGCCTGCACCCAGGGGGCGGGGACCAGGGCAGGGCCCGCCCCTCGGAGCACTCTGCTCTCTGCAACGACCAAAGGGAGCACCTACTTCCCTTTGGCGCCCGGAGAACCAGGCTGGGGCCGAGCAGAAGCCAGAGCTTCCGGCCCCGTTAGTCCTGACAGTGGCCACTTGCGTTCTTTGGTCCTGAAGGAGGGTACTGCGCCCTCTCCTGGCACTTCCTCCTTCCCGGCGAAGGCCCCGATGCGCACGCCGTGAGAACCGGGGTGTGTGTGTGTGTGGGGGGGGGGGGGGTTAGGGGCCATCTGACCACAGGTCCCTCCGGGTGGCAGGGGGGTCTCCACCCAGCAGAGAGGGCACACATCACCGCCCGCCTCGCCCCCTTTCCCCGGCAGCTAAGCGCCCTCTTCCTTCCGGTCCCGCTCCGGGCCGGACCCCGGGGCAGGGCAGCCTGCCCACAGGCAGGCGAATCCGTGAGGTCGGCCGGGCGGGTGATGTCCCCGAAGGAAACGCTCTGCGCCGCCCGCGCCGCAGTGGGATGTGGAGCGGTGGGCGCCGGGCGCGGGCTCTCCCGGCGGTGCGGGGCCTGGTGTCACCACGCGGCTCCTACAGGGGCCAGAAGCAGGGCGGGGCCTCAGCCTGCCGGTCAGGCGGCCTGTTCCCCCGGGCTCTGCTCGGAAAAACAGGCCAGTCTCTCTTTAAAAAATACCCTTTTAAACTGATGTCAGAGAGGAAGGGAGAGGGAGGGGGAGAGAAACACCAGTGATGAGAGTCATGGATCAGCTGCCTCCTGCACACCGCACTGGGGTGGAGCCCACAGCCCGGCGTGCGACTGGGAACTGACCCGCGACCTCTCGGTTCCTAGGTTTGAGACTCAACCGCTGAGCTCAGCAGCCGGGCGGCCTGGCCTCGCTTCTTATGGGGGAGGGGGGGGGGAGCTGATGAGCCGCGGGGCCAGCCCTGACCTTTCTCTTCTCACCAGCCCGGCAGCAGGTGCTCCCCCAGAGAGGGGCCGGGGGTTAAACACGCGTCTCGAGTGGCCTTTGTCACCAGCCTGGGCCTCGCCGGGCTCAGACGGGCTCCGTCCGCCTGCCGCGGTGGCGTCCGGGCCTGTCCGTCCCGGTGCTCCTTCCCCCGGCGCCCTCCTAACCCCGCCCGCCCGTCCGCCCGCAGAACCTGTGCACCGTCCTCAGCGCCGCCAGCAAACTGGCGCAGCTGCAGTGCCTGTGGGCGGCCCGCGACGCGGGCGCCGTGAGCGCGCTCACCTGGGGCCTGGCCGCCTACACCAGCGCCAGTAAGAGCGGGGCCCTTCCTCCCGCCCGCACCCCTGCCCCCGCCCCGCACCTCTGCCCCCCGCCCCGCACCCCTCCGCCCCCCGCCCCTCCGCACCTCTCCGCCCCCCGCCCCTCCGCACCTCTCCGCCCCCCGCCCGCACCCCTGCCCCCGCCCCGCACCCCGCCCCCGCCCCGCACCCCTCCGCCCCCCGCCCGCACCCCTGCCCCCGCCCCGCACCCCTCCGCCCCCCGCACCCCTCCGCCCCCCGCACCCCTGCCCCCCGCCCCCTGCCCGCACCCCTCCGCCCCCCGCCCCTCGCCCCGCACCCCTGCCGCCCTCCCCGCACCCCTCCGCCGCCCTCCCTGCACCCCTCCGCCCCCCGCCCCGCACCCCTCCGCCCCCTGCCCGCACCCCTCCGCCCCCCGCCCCGCCCCCCTCTGCGTATCCAACAGGGGCGGCGTCAGTGACCTAACGGGCTGTACTGACGGGAGCTTTCCCTCAGTGAGCCTTTGCAGGGCTTACTGTGTCCACGAGATTTCCACCAAGCTGGGGGGGTGCGGGGGGTGGGGGGCGGCGATATGGCTGCCTTTGCCGCTTGGTGAAACACGGCATAAACGGTGCTGTGCGGCCAAGGCTGCCAGGAACAGCGAGCATCCAGCCCCGTCTGTCAAACGGGACCATGTTAGCTAAGCACCCAGCTGTCTGAGAAGCGAGTGGGTACTGATTGCCGAAAATTTTCTGTTGCAGCAAGAATCATAACCACCTTGCTGACCACCAATGACCTCACAAGTAAGCAAACCGTTCTCTGCCTCTTCCCCGTGAAAGGCGCCTTTGCCGCCTCCGTCTGTCCATGCCGCAGGCTCCGCAGGCCCGCCGGCCCCGCGAGGCCTGGCGCTTTCCCAGGATTACTTCCTTCCCATGCGGTGCGAGACACCCCTCACTGCCCTGAGACTCCAGGTGACGGGAGGGGGTGGGCAGCCGTAATCCTCCTCCTCAGCCAGATTCCTCCCGGTGACACGCTGGAGAGGATGCATCCTTCTCCCCAGTCAGCCACGGGCCGACGGCAGTCACCACGGGAGGTCCTTTTCCCAGAAGCATCTGGGACCACATCTGGGACCAGCGTTGTTCCAAGTCTCATTTCTCTGAGGGGGAGGGGAGTGAAGCCCTGGTTAGGCTTCTAGAGCAAATGGTTGTTCTCTGATGTGAACACGGCCTTTAACATACGCTTCTCCTCCTCTTGCCCGACGCCAGTCCTCGTGCGCTTTGTGATCATGCTGGCGTTGAACCTGTGGGTGACGGCCACCGTGCTCCGATACCGGAAGGCGGGTGTCAAGGCCGAATGATGGATCCGTAATTCTGACACACAGTGGACTTCGAGTGACCGGACCAAAGGAAAGAAGAGCTCATTGCTAAATCGAAGTCTTTTATAAACTAGTCAGTCGTTTCTGGATCTCTGGAGCCAAAGGTATTTTAGACGTGAGCCATTCAAACACATGTTTAAAAAGGACCCCCTCCCCCACTTTATTAGGTCAAGTTGAGGCTGGTGGCTAATGGGAACCATCCCAAGAACCACTGGGAGATGGCTTTTACGTTCTCTCCAAAGAGCTGGCTGCATCCATTTTTCAGCTTCAGAATTTTTTAAGGAACAAGTCCCCTCTCTCCACAGCACACATGAGCGCCTAGTGGGGTTCTGCTCGGTCAGAAGGAGAATTGTGATCCATCACTAGGGGGGTTCACTCTCGGGGACGAGTGTCTAATCGCAGCAGAGAAGACAGGATGGCTCTATGGTATCGTAATACAATGTAATACCTGCTTAGGCATCACAGTCTAAGTCAGGCAAGCAGAAACGGAACTGGCTTGAATTCATATGCCAACTCAGTCCTTTACCTTCATGCTGTGCCTTTAAGTAATCCCTAACAAACGGGCTATTAAATGCAATCTCTGTGATGAAGCCTCTCACATTCTGATTTAAGCACAATGCTGCCTTTTTTTAAAAACTGCTTTTAAAAAAATATATATATAGTAGTACTTATACAGACACACACACACCGTACATATATTACTGATTCTGGAGAGGGAGATATAGAAACATCGATAATGAGAAAGAATAATTTCACTGATGGGCTGCCGCCTGCATGCCTCCCTCTGGGGATCAAGCCTGCAAGCCAGGCATGTGCCTTGACCAGGAATCGAACCGGGACATCCTGGTTCACAGAACAAAGCTCAGGCACTGACTCACCCGGCCGGGCAATGCTGCCATTTTCACAGGGGCCACAGCCATTCTTAGAATTCGGTACAAAATACAGCTTATCTTGACCAGGTTTCGTGTATTGAAAATATACGTGGTAAAGAGTATTGCTGAGTTCTGGCAATACTTATGGGCTTTATTCTCATTACAGTATCATATTCTAAACATGACAAGATTATTATGTACATGGTATTTTTCTATAAAAGTTTATAAAGCTTAACACTGAACAAACTCTTCTCCCCTTGCAACTGAATGGCATTATTTTGGTGTGTATATACATATATGCAGTAAGTAAATGATACTATTTAGATGTTTTGGTTTCCTGTGTAAAATAAACTTTCCAATTTTGAACTCTGCTGAGTCTTAAAACTGTTTCAATGTGAGTGGTTTTCAACGCTGTAAAGAGCCATTTGAAAATACAGATTGTGGTTAATCTTTTAGAACGACTGCTTGGGAACAGCAGGAACGGAAACATGCCATTTAAAAATAAAATCACTCACTCTAGTTCTTAAATCATAGTTGTCCCTTTTTAAAAATCAGGTAAATCCTTGCTCGTGTGCAGTTACAATCTGATTGGTATCCATAGTGGCTTCTGGTTCTTATTAGCTCTTTATCGCGGTCGAAGGCACTCCTCTAAGGTGCCCGGGGTGGTGGCCTCCCCTTTCCCTTTGGGGGGGGGGAGGAGGCGCCCCTGTGGACCCTCACTCCACACGCCTCCTGGCTGGTCCCCAAGGGCCCTGGCAGCCAACACTCCCCTGCGGCTCAGGGCGTGGCCTGGCCCGTGGGCGCCGAGCCGTGTCCCGGGAAGAACGCAGGTCAGCGGAGCAATGCTGCCGCCCCCGCAGTCGGCACTGCTCACAACGCAGGCACCTGGCCTCCCTTACCCTCAGCACCAAGCGCAGCTCTGCACGCCCCTCACATCACAGGCTCCTGCCAAACTCCACCTTCTCTATCTGCGCTCAACGACAGGGCCGATTACTACCGAGCATCTAACACCGGAACCACCCCACAGGCCACGATTAATAAAAAAACAAATAAATTTGCAATGAATATTATAATAATCACTCACAATTCAGGTGTTCTTGAATGTTTTTCAGCTGAAAATTCCCAAGAAAAACGGGTTTGAAGTTGGTTGGGGCTGCCACTTGGGGAAAACCTACAGACGCACGTGGCGGTGGGCAGGCGGCCGCTGGCGTGTAGAGATGCTTGTGGTGTTCAAGGGGTTAAGTTAATTATAACTTATTGGCTATACACCCACCTTTAATACCCATATTTTTAGGGAAGGCAAATTTGGGGAGTACATTTTAGGTTGCAGCATACCAGGAGTATTTCACAGGAAAAGTATAAAAATGCTTGTGTCTTAATTATTTATTTTTTTAATATAAAAAGCAGGCATAAAATACAATTACATTTCTACAAAGATGCAACAAATTTAAAAGAAAAATCAGGGGGATATGATTTCTGTTCAAAGGGGACAGCTGATCAAATATTTGTGATTATCTAAATCATGCAGTTCAACTCGGTACAATTTCAAACAAAACTCACTGCGGGGAAGGGAAGCGTCCGGCGTCCGGCTAACACCCAGCGCTGTCACCCAGCGCACCTCACAGTGCTTCCGAGCAGAACAGCGTGGCGTCTCCCGCCCACGGTGAGGACAGGAGTCAGCAGCAGTGTCAACACGGGGAGAAACTCGGTGTGACCTCCTCTGGCCGGAATTTACAAACAGCTTCTTCCCGGAGCATGCTCCAGCCGCCGGTGTGCAGGCCTGTGTGCACCAGGCCCAAGGCCGGTTAGCAGCCGAGGCAGCACTTCCGCAGCGGGTCTGGCCCTGAGCGCTGCTGCTGCTCCTGCTGCTGCTGCTGCTGCTGCTCCTCCTCCTCCTCCTCCTCTTCCTCTGGGCCTAGGCAGACTGGGAGGGCGCCTGCCGGCCAGATTCCTGTAGCCAGCGCAGGCTAGCTTCAGAAACTCACCTACACCTTAGATTTCCTGATACACTTTTCCTTTGGCTGTAGTATTTTAAGTGTTCAGATTAAAAAAAAAAAATTGCTTCTGGATAACAATTTAATACTTTTCAAAAATCACTATATACCAATTTTCAACAACACCAGTTTTACTTCTACTTGTCTCGCTTATCCCCACAAAAGTACAAAAATCTAAGAAAACCCCAGCATTCACTACTTCGTTCTCAATAGGAGGTATTTGTGGCTCTGGGAGAAATCAGGTGTGAGGAAAGAAGCGACTTTTGGTCTCTATTTATCTTGGAAGCTTTGGAGCCTCCAGAGAGAAGCTGGCACAGAACCTGGCTGTCACACCAAGTCGGTATCACGCTGAGTGACGCTGGGAAGAGCACTGGGTAGGTGCATGCACCATTCATGTTCGCACATGAAACCAGCAACAGGGTAAAGAGCAAATCCTTACCCAAGGCCGAATCTTTTATTAAGCACATTGCTGTTAGCTGGACAGCTTTATAAATTCTATGTCAAACCACATAATGTGAATGATCTCCATGGGAGAGATTGGTTTCACCCCTTAGAATACCCCCCCCAAGGTCACATGATCTTCCTTGGACAGTTGCATCACACCATGATTCTCCATATTCTCTTATATACAGCATTCAAAATTTAAACTTTTGCCATTTTTACTCAAATATTTCAATTACTCATGTGTAAACTTCAAATTATTTCACCTTAATAAAGTTTATTAAAAATATATATATATACTCTCCAATTCAGAATATGATAGAACCTCCCATAGTGTAACAAAATCTTTATATAAAATATTAATTCAGTCTCCTTTTAACAAGTCTAATGAGTGGAAATAGTTATTCTATATAAATTTTATATACTTTTCACTTTAAAATCTTACTTTAAAAAACATCTGTGCCCCAAACCAGAACCGCAGAACACACCTGCGAGGCCCGCCTCCCGCACGCCGCCCGCGTCAGCGTCAGCACAGACGGCAGGGGGGAGGCAGGCCGGTCACCGGGAGAGGAACGGGGTTCCGTTTCAGGACATCGGCAGCCACGGCCACTCTTCCGTTTGCACAACAGTATCTGTAACTGGGACCCACCGTTAAACATCCCCACACTGACCCGGGACAATGAAAATGTCTCAGTTCCTTCAGAAATAGCGGATGATGTCTCTGAGCATCACGCCAAACTGTGTGTGTGTATAGAGACTGGTAAAAGACTAGTTTTTTACCTGATGCTTCTCACCGATGCATCCTGTCACAGTAAAAAACACAGACTTCTGCAGGACGAGAAACACAGCAGGAACGGTCTTGCCGTGCTGTAATTTTAACAGCATTTAAATAAAAAGTTAAGTGCCTTTGAGGCCGCTTCTTCCCTGGCACCAGCTTTCATAACCAATACTGAAATATTGCCATACACTACTGTGTGGTGAGGGTCACATGTCAATACTTAAAATATATCTAGAGTATATTTTAGTTTTCTTTATATTTGAGATAATTTCTGAATGCTGAGTGTGAAATGTAAAAATAGTCACAAATGTCCTTACCAGAAATAAAAACCTATCTAGGGTAGTCAGCAAATTCCAAGCAAAGGAACCATTTCATAGTCACACACTAATACTGAGGTCTGTAAAAAGGCTTGGATGAATAATAGATATACGTAAAAGATATATTAGTTCTAATACTATCCATTATTGTTTCTATCACCATACTTAAAAAATTGTTATACAATCAAAATAGGCTGACATTGATAACTATTATATGTAAAAATAGTGCACTATCTTCTTCTGCAAAGCAAATTTGCATCCTAAGAGTTGGTAAACACTTTTCAATACAGAAAAGGGCTGGGACTTGGGAAAAATTAAATTAAGGCATTCAAAATGGATAAAGTTACCTATCACGAAGCAATAGGAAATCGATATAATTAAGTTCCAAGTTTCTGGTACAGCAACATGAACATGCAGCTCCATCAGGTACACAAATGAGTGCTATAACCCAATGTTATGGCTTTGTACAAGTGCATAGTTGCAACTGTAGTAAGTAATGGTATCTGATTAATAAGTATAAAAAATAGTGGGAAGTTAAAAAACCCTCTTGCAGTATTACAGTACTACATATGTGTGTGTACGTGTACACACACACACACACACACACACACACACACACAGTATAATGGTCACTTCTTCAAGACGCAGTCTGTATCACTGTAGTGAAATCCGTTCCCAGATTCCTGCGGAGAACATGCTGGTGAACCCTCTGCAGAAGCTGAACAGATGCCGCCTCTGACTCTTCTCTGTGCCACGTGGTGTGAGTGTGTGAGTGATGCCACGACAGCTTTATGGAGCTTCTGGAAGAGCTGCATCTGATGTTCTTTACTAACCAGTCTCCGCTGGTTCAACCTGCTGTCCCAAAGGAGCCTAGGAAAATCTCTCCAAGACTTATAATTTATCTTGTGGGAATAAAGGGAATATGTATATGTGTTTCAGTCTCTCAGGAAAACACAGCTTTACAATAAATTTTGGGCCATCATATTTCAGTCTTGTTATAACTGGAAGAATAGGATCACCTTGAATAATGACTGCATTCATAGAAGGCAGTTAGCTGTAAAGAAAGGAAAAATAAAGTTAGTTGAGATAGTGAAATAATAAGATTGTTAAATTCTTTGAAAAGGTATTCCATGTACACCATTAAACTAGATAGTCTTCCAAATACAATACTTTCAACACCTAAATCATGCATAAAATGTATTTACCGTGCTACTTTTTTTAGGTACATGCAATTATAGTCTTTTTCATATTTTTCTATATTGGCTACAAACATGACACACAGTTTAATACGTTTAACTGACTCTCAGGTTTAGACAACATGTCACTGAATAGCTCATGTGGACGTAAGTGTGACTTGGAGTCTGACTGCTAGCTGCCTCAAGTATTGAAAGAACAGTGGACTTCTGGGCCAGGCTTTACTTGACTATTTGACCCTTAAAATCTATTAGGTGGAAACATACACATTATAGTAAGTAAAATGCTCTGCATATCCGGTTATAAACAGAACCCCAATAGGACACTAGTGGCCCGTGGCAGGAAGATCCCTGCAATAGGGCTTCCTGTGCAGTCACCGCCCCACCTACTCCCCTCCCTTCTCCCCGCCCGCCTGCTTCCCTTCCTTCTCTGCCGCCCGCCCGCCTAGCTAGCTTGCTTCTCCACAGCGCTTGGCTTCTTTCTACACTGTCCTCAGCCTTCACTCTGGCCTGGAGTTGTGGTTAATTTGCATACTCGCCCTGATTGGCTGGTGGATGGGACTTGTGGGCGTAGCGAAGGTGCGGTCAATTTGCATGTTTCTCTTTTATTAGGTAGGACTTAGGTATGTTTTGCAATGTGCTT